CAGGACACTGACAAGGTACGCGATACAGTAGGACACCAAACGCCATTTCGTTTTACCTGTTTGTTCTGTCCAATTAATTATTTTCTTCATATATCGCTCTTCCAAACCCTCATCCACACCCTCAAACACACACACACACTGGAGGTTTTGCACTGGTGGGATGCAGGGAGGCGTGAAATCAGCAGTGTGTATGCATTTCTGAACACAGCAGTGTGTCGTTGTGTCCCTACTGTTTTAAAGGTCATGCACTCGGGGACACACACACACAAGTGTGCATGTGAATACAACTTAACCCTCTTGTTCTGTTGAGATTGACTCCAATGATGTACGTGTACAAATGATAATAGTCATTTAACCTCTTATTTTCTGTTCAAAATCTTCAAATAAGTTCCTCTAACCCAATCAAAACTCGTGGGTCATCATTCCGCCCGTCAATCCAGTGCCATTCCTAAACTTCTGGGGGCCCTAAGCAAAACTTTGTCAGAGGACTCCTGTCAGTGCATTCATAAAAAAACCAAAATGACCCCCAAACCCTTAATATGATCTTTCACTGCCAACAAACAACAGTGAGCTGAAACGGTAATAAAAAATAAAAAAAACCCAGACAATGACAAATACATTAGAAAAAAAGATACAAAAAGATTTTGTTGCTTATTTAACATTAAATGACAGAGACAGCAGCAGGATTATTAGGCTGCTGGCACTTTAAAAATGAACGCACAGATTTAATATACTGACAAGCATTTTATTCAGGGATGCACGATATTATCGGAACGTTATCGGAATCGGCCAATAATGCCTTAAAATGTAAACATCGGCCCGATATGAAAAATTATGTCGATATGCCCTGCCGATAAGATGAATAACTCATATGTGCTCAGGGTGTGCTAGCAATACAATCACGTCAGCAGTTTGGTCATTCTTGAAGCCAACTGTTGTCAGAATGGTGATTAGATTCACTGTTTTGGATCGCCGTATTTAATCTGAGAAAGCAATTAAGCAAAGACAGAATGAGTGTCCAGTGTGTGATAGAGTCAACAGCCACTAGCGTGCAGCGGCAGCCTTCCCCGGGTCCTAATGCCTGTCCGGTAAGGCATTTTATTTACTTAGGGGGCACTGTTGCCCTACTTCTATTAAAATGAAAGTAAAATACACAAATAACATTAAGATTGTGTTTTTGATTAAATAAAGCAGTAATTTATATCATAAAATCATGAGAATGTTTTGATTTAAAGGTAAGAATCTATAGCTTACATGAATAAAAATCACATACATGACACTTGTAAATTAAATTATATTATAATTATAATATATTATAACATATATATATATATATATATATATATATATAAAGATGTATTCATTAATGTGTGATATATTTTTTCCAAGCAGCTAATGAAAACTTAAATACAAGGAGCTATAAACTATTTTCAGAATTTTTACAACTCTTTTGCTTTAGACCATCTACAATCTTCAAATAAAATGTTAACTGCATCTGTCTGAAGGGGGAAAAATGCAATAATTGGTTTATAGTTGATTTATAGTTATTTTCAAAGCTTTCAATGTACTCTTATTATAAAATAACTTTGTTTTTCTTTATTTAATCCTAACAAGTACGTTTTTGTTAAAAACGAACCAAAATTTAAATTAATTTGTTTATAATCTCTGCACAGGATAGACTTAGTGTTGTTTCCAAACAAAAGGAAATATATCGGTATCGGCATTGGCTATCGGCCAAAATGAGTTGAAAATTATCGGCATATCAGATATCGGCAAAAATCCAATATCGTGCATCCCTAATTTATTTATTTGTTTCCTCTTTCTTCACAAATTCAAATATTTCCCCTCTTTTTTATATTCTATTATTTCTATTGTAGTATTGCTATACTGAAGATTATTGCCATTACTCCAGTGTTTCCTTAGAAACCATTACTTATTATTATGAGTGCTGACAACAGTTAAGTTTTTTTTTTTTGAAATAGCAAAAGTTACATTAGTGAGATTATAAATGTCTGTACTGTCACTGTCATACAGTCCTTGCAGAATAAGTATTATAGTATTATAGTTTGGTATTATGGTATTATGAGTATTAATTTCGTTCAAAAAGTGACTCCGGTATTATGAGTATTAATTTCTTTTAAAAAAATGACTTCAAAAACCTGTTTATTTATTAGATAGCAAAAATGTTGTGGGCGAGATGTTGTGTAATTAATTGCATATGCACAAAAAGAGAAAAATACTAATAAAAATAAATCACAATCATCATAAAATTAAAAAAAATAGGGGGGAAAAAAGTCTGGTAGGGACAAAACAGCACACCAGCAACCCTCATCGGAGTAAATCGTATCTATCAGTACATCATTACTGATAGATTACTGATCAGTACAGCACATATAGGACCACATTTGTAAATAAATAATAAATAACAGGGCTGGCACTATTATCACAGAATTTGTATTTCTACTGAGGAATATTCATTGATGTCAGAAAAACAGCATATGTCTAACTTCTTGTGACTCCTGACCAGAATGTACTCCCAGAGGTCTGTTAGATTTTGCTGTATTTGGCTATAAATTAAGTAAGCTTGGCCAAAGTTCTTGTGGGGAGAAGAATTTACTGAAGGTGTAGTGTAGCAGTTCTTCAGCAGCGATGTCATCCTTCAAGAATCTTGTAAGAATCGTAGCTTCTCCCGAAGTTCTGTCTGTGAGACTAATTGTATGGACCATTTGGTTCACACCTTTACCGAGTTTCTGTTGACTGCATCTGAGGCACAGTCACAATGTAAATGCATCTGACACATAATCTTTCAGGTCCAGTATTTCCCATCCTCTTCAATGTAGTGATTTTGTGTAAGTGCTGTACCTTGCCCCTGCAGACAGAGCGCACACAGTCTATGATCTGGCCCGTCTCCAATCTGAAGGCTCTGCATCGCTTCAACTCCTGATCCCACAGTTTGAGCGCACCACCCTCCTTAGACCTGCAGAGGGCAGCCCACACAAATCCTCTCATTTACTACAGCAGCTTTTGAGAATGCTCATGCAGATTCAGAGAACAAACTATTTCTGTTAAAGATAGTGGGAAAGGTCAAGCCACTTACGGTCGTTCTTTGCCCCCCGTCACAATGAGCCCGTCACGTAATGTGGTGTACATGGTGAACACAGGTCCAGTGTGAGCCTTAGCCACGATTCTCACTAGAACGTGTTCCTTCCACACACACACATCTCCACTAATGGTACCTGTAAATGTCAAGTTATTCTGAAAAGAAAACAAACCTGCACTAATCTAGTGACCTCTAAGAGAAAAACAGCACAAACATGGCAAAGCACAACATTTTCATATCCGTTCACTCATACTTCTACACCGAATCTTTAAAAAAGTAAAACGTCATTTTTTAAGTTACAATCATAAACAACTTTTTGAATTAATTACTGATTTAGCATCTTGTTCATTTAAGCTCTGACACACAAGTGCACAAACAAATGCACACGTATGCATGTATACATAAATATCTACTCACACACATTCCACATTCATTAAAAGGGATAGTTCACCCAAAAATAAAATTTCTTCAAATAAAATGTTAACTGCATCTGTCTGAAGGGGGAAAAATGCAGTAATTGGTTTATAGTTGATTTATAGTTATTTTCAAAGCTTTCAATGTACTCTTATTATAAAATAACCTTTTTTTTATTCTAGCAAGTAAGTTTTTGTTAAAAATTAACCAAAATAAAAATAATTTGTTTATAATCTTTGCACAGGAGAGATTTGGTGTTTTTTTTCCCAAACAAAGGAAATATATCGGTATCGGCATCGGTTATCGGCCAAAATGACTTGAAAAATATCGGCATATCGGATATCGGCAAAAATCCAATATCGTGCATCCCTGATTTTATTTCTTTCCCAACTGTCCTATCTATCTATCTATCTCGTTTTAGATTGATACATTTCCAAAGCTTTATTAGTGATCAACCAAGAGTTAATAAAACAGTACAGTACAGTATGTAAATATCCTAACAGACACCTCAACATCTTCATTAATCGAATAAATTTTTCACTGTCTGTTTTTTTTTTTCAACAGCCATCTGTGTATGTGAACTTGCGAATGAAAAGAGCGTGTTTGTGTAAGTATACATGTATCGTTAAGGTGGACAAGAATTGAATCGAAAAGCAAACATGCAGTCCCAGAAATCCACAGGAGGCCTCTCCTCCCCCTCACTGAGTTGAGGATATCAGCATGGGAACTTTTAATTTAGCAGATAACAAAATTAGCTGCGGGAGCCAAATTTAGAATTACACAGAACCATCATCAGATGGATGGCTTCATGACAGATGGATGGATGGATTGTTTTATCACCCCATTCACTGAATGGGGTTATGCAAATCAGATAAAGTTGCATACATGCCTCAAAAATAAGTGCTGAATGCAAATTGAAAGGTGCAATTCCCCATCTAACAGGACGGTTTAGGTTGTCGAAGATGCAGCAAACACTATAATTAAACTATATATTAATGTTAAATAGCCTATTCAACACAATAATATGAGAATAATAATGGAAGCCATGAATAAAAAATAACAATAAATGTAAAATAAATAATTATAATAATACAATTTAGTATTATTATTTGTTATTAATTTATTTTTAATTACTTTTTCAATTAATTTAGCACCTTGCAAGTGGTAAGTAAATTTGCCTCATAATATGCAGTGTTAACCTCTCATATCTATGCATTGGAGTTTCTAACGCATAAATGTCAAATTTGCAGATCCTATGACACTATGCTTTTTAACATTAATATTTACTAAGAAACAATCTGTGCATACAGTTAGACACATAAGGTCCTAACATCAAAGTTATGGCCCCTCAGGTCACACAGGCCTCAAGGTTGCTGTTCTATCTAAGCAAACGGTGATCTTTGACCTTAATTGAAACGCCTATATACTCCAACCAGCTCATTCATAATTCAAACCAACAGTTATTCCTTTTGGCTGTTCTGTATTCATGGTCCTAATAAAATATGTGTTGCATATTAAAAGCGCATTCAGGCTGGAAGCGGTGTCAGTCCTTGATATTTAAAGGCCGTAAAAACAGTCCTGGCAAAGGTGTATTAACGCTACAGGTACCGGTGAGTGAAGAATGACGGGTGGAAGAAGACACGTGAGACTTCAGCTCTTAAGAGTTTGATAAACCATTTTAAAAGTAATCGATGTCTACACAGCAATACTTGCATCTCCCTCAGCAGCGCTGTGGAAGCTTAATATTTCAGACGCACCAGAACAATGTTACTGGACATCAATTTAAGACTGGTCTCTTGAGTGGAGAACCATTGCTGTAAAAAGATGCCTTTTATGTTTTTTTAGATCCACACTGAATATAAAACCCAATTACTGGTGAATATTTAAACACTAAACGCTGACACGGCTGTGAAGATCATTTAAATAATAGTTTATGAGATTCGAGTAACCCTTTATATGTTTATAGAAGACTATAACCGTAAAAGAGTGAAAGGTATAAAATGTGCTTTTAGAGATTAAACAAGGGGATTTTGTTTAACTTATTGAATGATTTCAACACAAAAGGTCCAAAAAGATGCTCTACCTCGGCTCTAACTCTCTCTATCTCTGAATGAATGGGTGTTCTTGAACACATTAGCATTCATTTGCAGAAATGTAGTCAGGTATACATGTGTCGCTTGGACTGCGGTCAAATGAAATAAACTCCCGTCAAAGCCAATCAAGTTCCATTTTCTCACGTCAGGGAACTGACATTTAATTCATCTCTCTGTATATCAAGAGAATGAGAATCTCAGCACCGTGCCTGAAAGCAGGTCTGATAATGCACTTACACACACAGAGAGAGTGAATGAATAAAGTCATTGTGCTTCTCTAGAGTTTTAGATTCTTAAGCAAGGCATGTAATGTCAAAAGGATCGTCATGCAGAGCAGGTTGTGTGTGTGAGTGTGAGTGTGTGTGTTAGTGTAGCGCTTGCTTTATGACAAATAATTTGTATACAGTATATTATAATGCCAATCTATGGACCAGTGTCTCAGAAGAATAGATTCGCAGCTGAGAAAGATGCCACAACAACAGTGAACAAATTCAAGGGATGTTTGGTTGAACACAACGTGTATTTATAACACTCAGGTAAGTTGCATCACTTAGTATGAAAATAAATGTCACCCTTTTGTTTGGTAGGTTTCAGGAACCTTTCCTCTTGGATTTCAACAAGGTAAGATTATATACTTCTCTTTTTGTTCACTTTAGCTCAAGATTTGATTCCCTCTAATGAGGTTGAATATGAATACTTACATCACCTTTGATAACTCTTTTTTTCCCTTCTTTAAATCAATCAGAGTTCAAGTCTCAAAACCCAAATTGATGTACAATCACAATTGCCAACACAAAAGAAAATCAATACTTCTAAATGAAATATGATAGGTATTTCATTTTTACAACTCTCAATTGTTCAGTCTCTCAAAAAAAACTAAACAAAAAAAACAGTATGGTGAATAGTCCGTAGGGAGATTTTAAATGTCTTTTATCAATTGACGAGGAAATGTCTCCATCCAAGAGGGAAAAACAGAAAAGTCATTTGATTTCCTACCGTTCGTAGAGTTCAGAAGACTTGTCTTTTTATTTGATTTTTTTTATTTTTTCAGAAAATCCAAGAACAAGACTCAAGGGGGCTCGCCAGTCCAAACCCTCCTCAGAGCCACTGGAAGATGAAGAATATCACATCAGACAGATGGCATCAACATGGAAAAGGACAGAACCACACACACACAAAAAAAAAATAATAATAATAATAAATAAAAAGCCTGACCTTGAACAGACAAGGTCACAAAACAATCATTAACATCTTCATTGTAACAACATACAATAAAGTTTTAATTCATGAAAATAAACTGATTACAGCACATCAGGCATTTCACACAAAACTTGAATATTTGTATATGCATTCTTCAAATAAAGAATATTTTCTTTATATATGCAATGTCTGTGACTGCTTTTGTATTTATTTTTTTTAAATCTACAATGATACTTTGATATTTATCTTTTATGTTTATAGTGTCACACTGTAATACCATGGTACTGAAATTGATGTCCCATGGTATTTATATGGTACTGCAAGGTTCAGTTCTTATATGAAAACCATGATACCACCATGATACATAACATACCATGGTAATATTACGGTAGGTGTCCAAAAATCCATGGCAGTAATTGTTTGTGGATATTCTTTGAAGCACCTTACAGTATTATTTTAATACCATATAAATGATTACAATATTTTTGTATATTATTTTATAATAGTTCTGCAGGTTTTTTTTTTTAAGAAAATTGTATTATCATGGTATTGTTTGAAATACGTTGAAGTACCATGCACATATGGTATCATGAGTATGATCATCAAGTACCATGGTATACACTACTGCTCCAAAGTTTGTGGTTGGTAAGATCGTTAATGTTTTTGAAAATAGTCTCTTATGCTCACCAGGGCTGCATTTGTTTGATCAAAAATACAGTAAAAATAGCAATATTGTGAAATATTTGTAGGATCTCTGTCTTTGAACGGAGACACTTACACGATTGAGTCACACCTGAAACAACCACATTCCATTAAGACAAACTGAGGCACTCTTCTGCAACCAGCTGCGGTCGTAAAACTCATGCAGGTTCAGTGAAGGGTTGAAGCAGTTCCTGTCCTATTTAGCGTATCTCTCAAGAGGCTCAAATAAAAGACAGTGCTTAATCCTAACTCAAACTAGGATACAAACTATCTTTGTTTTACGGGCTTTCAAGGACCAGATGCGTGATACCCCTGACCATTTAACACATAAATTGCTAAATCCGATCAACAAAAGAAACCATTTTAGAACTCGCTGTCCAGCAGAAGGATGGCAGATCCACACTCGCTCGACATGGGC